GGCGATTTATTCGGGATTGTGCATTAAAGGTAAAGCCACTGCACATATTGACTAGAGCGTCGACAGATTTTGTTTTTGATGAAGAAAGTAAACGAGCGTTTGAGGCGTTAAAAAAGAAGCTCACTGCCCATCCCGTTCTTCGTCTTTATAATCCGTCTGCCGCGACCGAATTACATACCGACGCGAGCAGCGCCGGCTTTGGAGCTATCCTACTCCAAAAGCAGGCCGATGGAAAATTAACCGCGATCGCGTATTTTAGCCAAGCAACTACCGATGTTGACCGAAAATATCATAGCTACGAGTTAGAGACCCTAGTTATTGTCAAGTTTGGAAAGATTTCACATTTATTTACAAGGGATATCCTTTAAAGTAATTACCGATTGTAACTCGTTAGTTTTAGCATTAAAGAAGACTGATATAAGTCCTCGAATTGCGCGTTGGAGCTTAGCATTCCAGAACTACAATTTCGAAACCGTACATCGAAGCGGGGAGAAAATGAAACACGTGGACGCGTTAAGCAGGAGCGTTTGTGATAGATGCTCTCACTATTAAGGACGAATTAATGTACAAACAGCTAGCAGATAAAAATTTACAAAAACTCGCGGAATCAATTGAAATAAAAGGAAATAAAAATTTTACGCTCATTAATGGTATGATTTTTAAAATGAATAATGATCGAACGCTGTTTGTGGTTCCGGAAACAATGACTGAGAGCATCATCCGCATATATCATGACGAAATGGGCCATGTAGAAGTGGAAAAAACTGTCAAAGGAATTTTAGGACATTACTGGTTCCCTTGCATGAAACAAAAAGTTAAATCGCACATAGAAAATTGCGTTAAGTGCCTTCAGTTTTCTCTCTCTAATTACCATCGGGAAGGAGAAATGCAACTAGTGGATAAAGGGATGCAGCCCTTTGAAACTATTCACGTCGATCACTTCGGACCGTTAGAGACGTCCCCGGGAAAATACAAATACATATTACTGGTGGTCGATGCCTTCACTAAATACGTTTGGTTGTCTCCAACTAAGACTATGAATACAAAAGGAGTCGAGAAACACCTAGTTTTCTGTTTAATATTTTCGGAATGCCGCGACGTATCATTAGCGATAGAGGCAGCAGCTTTACTTCACGAGATTACGATAATTTAATGTCCAGATTTAACGTAAAACATGTTAAAGTAGTAGTTGCGTCTCCCTGGGCGAACGGACAGGTTGAGAGAGTAAATCGCCTTTTAAAAAGTACATTAGCTAAAACGACTGATAATGCCGACGAGTGGGAAGCAAAATTAAGAGACGTCTAATACGTATTAAATAATACACACCACAAGTCTGTAAACACTTCTCCGAGTAATCTGTTATTAGGATATAGTCAGCAAAATCATAGCGATAGGGATCTGTGCGAAATTATTGATACACTAACAAAAATTGATACCAATCTAGTGGAAAAGCGAGCGGCGATGCGAGACAGAGCGAAATTAGCAAATCAAGCGATCCAGGAGTTATAAATAAATCTTACTATGATAAGCGACACAAAAAACCGTCGCTGTATAACGTGGGTGATCTCGTGATGATTAAGAGATTGACAGTTAAATCAAGGACGAATTCGAAGTTGCTCCCAAAATATAAAGGTCCTTACAAAATTAAAGCCGTGTTAAAGAAAAATCGGTACGTGGTAGCCGACAAAGAGGGGTATAATAGAACCCAGAAACCGTACAATGCAATATTGTCTGCGGATAAATTAAAACCGTGGATCCGAATAGGTGATTGCTCTGAGCCGACAGAAAACGAAGACGAGGACAATAATAAAGACAAGGATAGTGATAAGAATAACGAGGAGAATTGTGACGCATGATTGTAAATACCGAAGTTATTGTAAATCAAGATTTATTGTGTAGTTACAAGGAATAATTATAAGTATACTTTATTTATTCTCTTTTTGAAAAATATATATACATCTAAATTGTATTTGTATCAATATGTATGCGAGCGTTGTTCAGGGTCGAACACGAGGTCAGGCTGGCCAAACTGTAAGGGTTCCCGAAAATTTGAAGACCGAAATATAAAGCGTATAGATACGTGATTGATAAGTAGAATTGAGAGGGATGAGAATCCGCGAATTAAGCGAAGCGCTCCCTTTCGAGAGAGGGGGATAAGAGAATCGAGGCCTCGAGGTAACGCGGTATTCGAGAGAGCGGGCGTTCTGTTGAGAGTGTCGACCAAGTCGGGTCACAGTTAGTAAAGCGAGAAAAATTTCTGAGAAAGGTCAAGTCGGACCATCGAAGATCCTTGAGCTGAGTTTACTCCAACGCCGTATCGGAGCAATTTGTCTGTTAAGCAAAATATATTACTTTGCATTTCAAACACGGAAACTGATTAGTAACCAGATCATATCCCGGACAAGCCCTTCCTTACATATTTAAAACGTATATGAAACATTTTTGAATAAATTTGAATGTCTCTGAAATATTTTGTGCTGTGTGGGACCTACTGCGTCCTCGAGTGCGCCCCAATTACAATGAAAAGTTGAAAGCATATCCTAACATTAAGTTGGGTGTAACGCCAGAGCAGATCTGTCACTAACAGTGTGACGACAGATTGACGCAACAAAACTGAGAACAGATTTGTCAATCGTAAACGGAAAACAGATTTGCACGAAATGTTCAGCAAATCGAAGAAAAATCCCAGTAGCACATATATATATATTCGTTTCAGAAACGTTTATATTTAGTTAAAATGTCCAAGTTGCCACAGGGCGGTCGACGTGTTCAGACGTATTTTGTCAAAAAATTTTTTTCTTCTTCGGTCCGTTGTATATACAGACCATTAAGCTCAAAACTATTACTGAAGATAATCTGGCAGCCTGAAACCACGAACAAAAACTGTGCGTTTTATTACCATAAAAAGAAGGTTAAAATTTTAAAATGTCCACTCAAAAAACGTTTAAAAAACGTTTATTTTCGAATTTAAGAAATGTTCAAAATATCACTTTTTACCGTTTTATATACTTTATTCGTGAATTTGCAATAATATAGATATATCCGCTATGTCTGCTCCTAAATCGCATATTGTGCAATAATTTTTAATGCTGATATATTTTCTGTTTACCCATACAACACAACAAGATTGCAGCAGCATTGTGGCAACATTTTATTGCAATATTACAACATTGCATAAACATTGTAAAATGTTGCAGCAATCTTGTTGCAAGATTGCAGCAATGGTAAAATGTCCGCTTTCAGAAACATTGTTCTATAACATTGCAGTAATAATGCAATAAAATATATATGTAATATTACTATTGGATTATTGGAAATGTGCCAAATACATGATCGGATTGAATGGTCTGTACCTAATACTTTTTGCGTGAATTTTATTTTTATAATATTTCTGAAATATTGCTGCAACGTTGTTTAAACTATATTGCAAATTCATGCCTATATAATATTTCTGCAATATTGCTATGCAATGTACAATATTATTACAATGTTGTTGCAATATTGCTGCAAACTTGTGTGCTGTATGGGTAATATATGACATTTATGAAATATTGCAAATTGCAAAATATTTCTTATTTTTTATTTTTTTTATTTATTCGGACCTTTATTTGACCAATTTTTAAATAATCAGTTTAATCTGTTAAGATTGTCAAAAGAATTAAACTGATAAAAATTATTGATTGTAATAGCTATATATAATTCTCTGACTAAAATTTAATAGCGAGCTATATATATATATATATATATATATATAGCTCATCGAGTTCCTTTTAAAATCAATGAGTGATTAGCGGAAATTTTTCACTTTTCACGTTTCCACTTTAAAAAAAGTTACACAATCGACCCCCAGCTTACGGCGCACAGCGGTCCCAGCAAACACAGTATATAAATGTTATATACTTAAGCATGTTACATGTAACGTATATGTTAGTTGTAATTTCCCACTCATAGATGTAACATTTTTAATATTACATATATTACATTGTAGTTGGATTGTCATTATATCCCAAGATAGCACTGACTTATCAGTATACATATCTGCAGCAGATCCTGCAGATTTGTCGAAACGTTATAAATTGACAACAAAAAGCACACAGATGTGCCAAAAGTATAGTTTAAAAGATTATATACGTTTTTTTTTCATAATATGATTTGACTAACAAAAATATACATTTATATATTATAATAGATTATTTTCACTTTTTTCAATTATTATGAATTAATAATTAATATTAAATGTTTTCTTATTTGCTTTTAATAATATTTTATAGGAAACATTGCAAAATTTTATTGCTTTATTATAATGCAATCACATATATAGTTCCTTTATATTTACCCCAGCAAACACTGATATATAATTGTTACATTGCTATAATAAAACGGAATATAACAGGTAATATAACGTGTACGTTACATGTAACATCCATGTTAGTTGTAATTTCCCACTCATAGATGTAACATTTTAATATAACATATATTACATTGTATATAGTTATATTGTAATTATATACCAAATAGCACATTGATGTATTGATAAGTCAGTGCTATCTTGGGATATAATGACAATATAACTACAATGTAATATTAAAAATGTTACCTCTATGAGTGGGAAATTACAACTAACATATACGTTACATGTTAACATGCTTGAGTATATACAGGTAACATTTATATACTGTGTTTGTTGGGTACATGAGATCATAGATGTAACATTTTTAATATTACATATTTTACATTGTAGTTATATATTGTCATTATATCCCAAGATAGCACTGACTTATCAATATATCAATGTGCTATTTGGTATATAATTACAATATAACTACAATGTAATATATGTTATATTAAAATGTTACATCTATGAGTGGGAAATTACAACTAACATGTTATGTTACATGTAACGTAGACGTTATATTACCTGTTATATTCCGTTTTATTATAGCAATGTAACAATTATATATCGGTGTTTGCTGGGTATATATATATATATAACAGAACTTTAATCTAACCTAACCTAACCTAACCTCAAATCCAATCTAACCTAATATAAAACTCGAATTCTATCGAGCTCGTTCTTCGCCTCTCTCGCTTCTTACTTCTCGCCTAACTTTGAACAATTTTGACAGTTCTACTCGACTCACATTGTACATATATTGTAATAATATTGCATCAACAAGGATTGAAAAACCAGAATGGAATCCACATCTAGCAAGGTGAAGTATCATCACGATTTAATAATCCTTTCTCTTTTATTTCATGTACGTATTGTTCAATGCAGATTTTATTGTCAAGTACTAATTTTTGCATTAAAAAAATTTTTTATTTATATTTAATTTTTAGATTTTAAATAGTTGTTATTTATCTTTCATTTTTAAAATTTTGTCTAATGTTTTAACGTAAACAGTACTAGTAAACAAATATATATACATATATATAGATGAATAATTATAAAAAGCTAATTTATAGGAGGATCAGAATAATCCGGAAGATTCAGATTCTTCAGAAATGGATGAGATAGAACCAAGGCTAAAATATGTAAGGATACGCAATGATTTGGAACATATTCTACAAAACGATGCGGCTAGTTGTATCGCTGTACATCCAAAGGTGAGAATTATGTACAATAATAAAATTTTAATTTTAAAGAATTTAAAGTATTTAATAAAATAGTTTTTTTTAATTTTAAAAGTTAAATAAATAAGAAAAAAAAATTTTTTCTATACTTATTAATTTTTTCTTCTTAGTTTCTTTGTTTAGGATCACACTGGGGAATGATCCATCTTTTAGATCATCAGGGCAATAATGTAAAATCGAAAACACTACAAGCACACACGGTGGCAGTTAATCAGATCTCCATAGATGATAATGGAGACTTTATCGCTTCTTGCAGCGATGATGGGAAAGTTTTTATTTATGGCTTATATAGCACAGAAAATAATCACAATATGAGCATGGGCAGGCTGGTTAAAAGTATAGCAATTGATCCAAATTATTACAAAAGTGGCAGTGGTAGAAGATTCATTACAGGTTTTATCCATATATATATATATATATATATATATTAATTTTTAAAGTATTAGTATGTATTTTTAATTATACATAATAAAAGTATTTAAAATTCATAGGCGATGACAAGTTGATGCTCTATGAGAAGACTTTTTTGGCCAGGTTGAAGTCGACAGTACTTTGTGAAGCGGAAGGTGGAGTGAAATCTGTTGCATGGTCTGGTCGCTTTGTGGCATGGGCCTCAGACACCGGTGTGAGAGTCTACGATCTTGATGCTAAGTGTTCTCTGGGACTTATCAAATGGTCTCGCACTCCAGAGTAAGTATTTATAAAAATTAGCAGGTATAATATTTTGCATGCTGCAAAATCGAAGAATTTTAATGTTTAAAAAGATGCTAAAAAAAATTGTGAATAAAAGAAAACTTTATTTTATGTTATCTCATATAGAACATTGCCAGAACATTACAGATGCAATCTGCAGTGGTCAGATGACAAGACATTGTTGATTGGATGGGTGGACATTGTACGCATTTGCCACATCAGAAAGCGTACCATGCAGGAAATGGTAAACCGAGATTTGCCAGAGTTTGTGGTAGATCCAGGTAATTATGTTCCAGATAGCAAGTATATGTCAGTTTAACGTTTGATGATGTCATTAGACATCCAAGTAACGTTATTTCGATATTTGATGATGTCATTTCAATGTTTAATGACGTCATTTCGACGTTTAATGACGTCAAGTTGCCACTTGGGGTTCATCTGTTTTTTTCTTGAACATGCTTCAATACACAAATGTTAAAGAATCACTGCATGGCTCAATTTGATTGAATTATCAAAGTATTCTGAACACTATGAGGTATGTTAAATTATTCACTTAATGAATCACATTTTGCTTTTCAGTTTCAACGTTTCAAGTAGATTTTTATATATCTGGTATAGCACCGTTGAAAAATCAATTGGTATTGTTGGGGTGTCTCAAAGAGTTAGACGACGATGGAAAGAATCAACGTCCAACTCTGCATGTGGTTGAACCAAAATATCAAGATTTTTCAGTGCTATGTGCAAACTCACTTACTTTACGCGGCTACAAAGAGTACAGCTGTAATGATTATCATTTAGATTGTTTGAAGGAGGAAAATAGGTGAGTAATAATAAAATTAATTTAATATACATCGGCCATTAGAATTTATTTTCAATTATAGTTTTGTTCAATTTTAAACGATTTTTTCGCAATAAAATTATCGAGAGTATTAAAGAGTCAAAATAAAAGATATATTTTTATGTTATATAATTTTATAATTTTATAATAATGCTCTATTAATAATGTTGATAAAATTTAATTAATTAATACATATAATAATACTCGTATATAATATTATAATAGTATAATATAATATAATATAATATTTAATATTATAATATATAATATTATATTATTTAAAATGCAAAAGAAAAATAACTTTGAATACACAGACATATTTTCTTATTTTTTGAAATTTTTGAATAATTTTTAAAATTGATTACATTTTCTTATTTTGATCTATTTCTTACATAAACATTTTTTATAGGTTTTTTATTGTAAGTCCAAAGGATATCGTGGTAGCCAGTTTATATGATACAGATGACAGAATCGAGTGGTTATTGAGTCATGGAAAATTTGAGCAAGCTTTGGAAGCAGTAACAACGAATAATGGCAAGGATTGCAAAAGGCATACCGTATTAGACGTGGGACGAATTTATTTGGATCATTTGTTGGCATATGAGAAGTACGATGAGGCTGGAAAACTTTGCCTTAAAGTTTTAGGGCGAAATAAAAAGTTGTGGGAAGAGGAGGTAAGGATTTACATTTGAATGTCACAAAAGAAATTTTTTAACATGACTCGAATTTTTCTGAGACAGGTTTACAAATTTGCCAGAATGCATCAGTTACGTTCCATCTCATCCTATTTGCCAAGAGGTGACGTTACTCTTGATCCGCTGATATATGAGATGGTGCTGTACGAGTATCTGAAGATGGATCCCGATGGTTTCTTGCAGCTGGTCAAAGAATGGTCCCCGAGCTTGTATACAGTCGCCGCGGTGGTTAACGGCGTGTTGGAGCATTTATTAGTCCACAATCAACGGCAGAACGTATTATTAGAAGCGTTAGCCATTTTATACATCCACGATGGCAAGTACGATAAAGCGCTCGCCATGTATTTGAAGCTGCGGCACAAAGACGTTTTCCAGCTGATTCAGAAGTATCAGTTGTACAATTCCGTTTACGACATGATCGAAGGCCTGATGGATCTGGATACGGAACGTGCCATACAATTTTTTCTGGAAAAAGATAGGGTACCGTCTGATGTGATCGTACAGAAATTGCAGCACAATCATCGTTATTTATATCTGGTAATGGCATAATTTATATTATTCATATAAAAAATATAGGAAGGGATAAAAGTTCCGGAACGGCGAAATATCTCAGAAAATATTGATTTAATAAAAAATGTTTTAAACAAAAAGAGTAAGGCTTAAAAGAAGCTATTTGATGGTTTTATCTGGTTGACCTTTAGATGACCTTGAAAAGCCCAGTCAAGGTCAACATGAAAATTTTAAATAAAACCCTCTATTTTTTATTACATATTCTTGTAGCTGATGTCGAGACTTTTCCAAAACGCGCACTTTTCGAGTTATGAGAGTTTGAAATTATATAACTATTTCTTCTTAGTATCTAGACGCCCTAGACAAAAGAGACACTAAGGATTCCAAGGGCAAATATCACGGTTTATTAGTGCCATTATACGCTGATTATTCAAGAGATAAGTTATTGCCGCTTCTACGTCGCTCTGATAATTATCCAATACAACAAGCCCTGGATATCTGCAGCCAACATCAGTTTTATCCAGAAATGGTGTATTTGCTGGGCAGAATAGGAAACACTTCTGAAGCTTTAGCGCTCATGACGAGAGAGCTCGACGATATGGAGAGCGCGATTGCGTTCTGCCAAGAACACGATGACGAGGAACTGTGGAACGATCTAGTTAATTACTCACTCGACAAACCTAGTACGTATCATATTGTTGCGCGTGTCGGGATTTTAAGAGAGAATCTTTCTTAACAAATTATAGATGTGCAGATAATACAAATTTTAGATGGGCAAATCCAATTTTCACTATTATAAGAAAATAATTTCACGGATTTTAGCGGCAATTACGTTTCTCCTTCAAAAGATTGGTACCTACGTTGATCCCCGACTTATGGTACAAAGGATAGAACCTACTCTGGAGATTCCAGGGCTGAAGAAAGCATTGGTCAAAATGATGTGTGACTATAATCTGCAAGTTTCCGTGCAGGAAGGTTGCAAAAAGATATTATCTAATGATTATTTTAATCTCCACGAACGACTTGTTCGTTGTCAGCAGAAAGGCATATTTATTGATGGTAATATATGATTTCAAAATTAAAAAATCTAAAATTATTGATACAGTAATGCATATAAAAATTATGTATTTTTACTGTAAAACCCCTAAATTTGAGTAAAGAACTGAGCATATGATTAAATATTTTAAACATCTTAATAGATTGCATTCTGTAGGAGACACATTAATAAATAAATTCAAATTTAATGTAATAATTTTTTAATATAAAATAATAATTTAATAAATTAATAAACTGCTGTTTATTATATAAAATTGTTATCAGTTTCTTTTTCTTTCTGCAGATGATCAAATGTGTGGAGCTTGTCATAGGAAGATAATTGTAAGAGGTAATTATAAATAAAAGTGTTAGTAACTAGTTATAATATAAATATACAATTATATATAATTCTATTTTTAATTATTTTCTTCAGAGTTGCGGAATATAGTTGTATTTTATTGTAAGCATTGTTTTCACGAAGATTGTCTACCTAACTTTGAATTTATTGTATGTATAATGTTTTCTCTTCTACATATTTATATTATTCTATTGTTAATGTATCAACATTCACCTTTCAATTATCGTCATGCTTTCCATTTTATAGGAAAATTGTGTGATATGCAACTCGCAGGAAGTGACGCTCGGCAGAAAATGATAAAGGTAATTCTTATGTGACATGTGCAATATCCAAAGTTTAAAATGGATTATAATGTCATATGTTATTGTGCGACAAAAATTATGTTGCACACACTAATGTATAAACAAATTTTTTATATAATAAATAAGTTGAAATTATTTATAAAACAGATAGGTTTTAATTGAAAAATTATAATTTTGAATGAAGATCTAAAATAAAACTTTTTCTCACAATTCATGTAACCAACTTTAATAGATTTTGAGAAGAGAAAATATTGTTTTTTTTATTATATTTTTGTTTTTTATTTTTGTTAATGTATATCTTACAAAACTTCTCATGGGTTCAGAAAGTTTGTAGTGTTTTCGAATAAAACAGATTAAAAGTAAACCATTGTTTTCCCAAAAATGGAACCTAAATCAATCATTGGAAATCTTTTGTAATCTTCTAGAAGCAAAAAATAATTATTTATCCAAGTAAAGTTATGAAATGTAAAATTTATTATCGATTATTGAAACAGTTATAAAGATTTTTAAATTTTATACCCTGGATATATTTTCAAAATAAAATATTGTATTTTTATATATTGAAAAATAAGTAGAGAATTTAATGTGTTGATTTTATATAATTTACATTACACATACAAGATGTGCCAAAAGTCTGGAAACGGTTAAATATTTTATAAACTACGCATTTTAGAAAATAATATTTTAAATAAAAGTTGTAGCGCTTCTACAAACTATCTATTTACTAGTCTTATCAATTTGATCATAGGTAGCAATATAATTTACAATTAGTAGTTATATATTTTTTCTTAAAAACTACTATCCATTTTTCTTTATACCAATTAATTCCTTTTATTATTTTATGCATAAAAGTATTAAAATAACCTAATCAAAAATGAATATTTTACAAGATATTTCATAGTTTATGTAAGATTATGTCAAAAAAAGTGTAAATATAAAATATCTTAAACTATTCACTTTTTGACTTTCAACTTTTTATGGTGAATATTGCGAGAAATCGATATATATTTATATAAAAAAATTATATACTAATATCACTAATAAAAAGAAGAATCTTTCTCGCAAAGGTCCAGTAAATTTTTTTAATAATAATCTTAAGTACGATATTTTTTATACTCTTATTAATAAATTTTTTTGAAACTTAAAACTATATCTATCAGTTGATAATAAAGTTTGCCAAATTAAATTATAAAATATTTCATAAAGTATTCACTTTTGATAATTTTATCCTTATAACTTTTTATGCAGAATATTGCGAGATCTATTTATACAAAAAAATAGTGATTTCATTTAAAAAATTCAAAATAACCTTGCCTTGACCTCGGCATCGTCATTTATAATCAATTCAATTCAAACAATTATTACTCTCAATTGAATCTTTTGAGAACAACTATTGAGGAGAAACGTTCTGAATTAGTTTTCAATCGAAAAGGTGTTATCTTTCAACAGGGGGTCGATTGTGTATCTTAGATGAGTTGCTCACGAGGAGAAAATTACAAAAGTGAGGAAATTCATTAGAGTATATACTATAATACATTAATACAGGAAATTCATTAAAGTATATACTATAATACATTTGTCGAAATATATAGTAAATCTGTTCACTTTTATAATTTTCATCTCGTAAACAAACCCAAGATATACAATAATCGACCTCCAGATCTCACGTTTCTATAATGACTCAAAACTTTATGATTAATTTTATTTACTTATAATGTATACTTATAATTAATTTCATTTTATTTTAGTGCAACAATTTATTAAAGTTTAGCACACTGGCTGAATTAAACAAATTGTTAGTTGTTTTTAAAATCTTCTACTTGTTGAAAAATAATATATCAATTGATTAGCTTCACAAATCACTTAACACACTATTTTAAAGCAAAATGTTAGATCTATCTAAGTAGAATATAAAACTTATAATGATGTTATCATGGTTTTATTCATCACTTAAAAGTTATCTGGAGTAGTTTAAGATGACAAAAGTGGTTTAAAGATGACAAAAGGATATGAATCATAGATTTAAATATTTACCCTTTTCCCTTGTAGAAATTTATACTTAAATACTGATATATAGTAATTTAAGTACTCAAACTAAGTGATTAAATACTCGAAATAAGTGATAAATTATGGCGTAACTATAGTGATAAATTTCTATAAGGGTTGTCGAATCATTTTTAAATTATTAAATCTAATATAAGATATATTAATTTTTATATAATTTTCAAGAAATTTATGTTGCTTGAATATTGTTAGAATATGTGTGAACAAATAGAATAAATAAATAATTTTAATATATAAATTTTTTTTCCAAAATGACTTTTATTATAAGTGACGTTATTTCATGATCACAATACAAAAGTGCAGACAATAGAAAATATTCACCAAAGAATAATATCTATTTGCAGGAATAATATCTATTTTCTGCTCCTACTCCTAATTGATGAATAATTTTTCACTTGAACGATTATACCTGTATGTATACATGACCGAACTATAATGGTCAACTTCTATATAGATATCATGGAAACTTACATAGTTTGAAAAATTCGCCGTATACTAACGCCCTCTCAGAAAATCTAACAACCGAAAAAGCATAGTCGATAACGATAAAAATACAATCATTTGAAAAAACTATTTATTATGTCACTGTCGTATTATGACACTGCTAGAGATATTAATTTGATTTTTTTTTTAATTAAATGAGACAAGGTGCCTGAAAATTTGAGGGATAAAAAATGTTGGGGGTTTTTAAGGAATAAAAGGAGGGCCTCGCATTTTTTTTAAATGAAACTACTATAATTTTTTCATATAAAATCGATTCCTTGCAATTTTAGACAGAAAAAATTATAAAGATAAAAGATAAAATAATCAAAAAATGAATACGAGATATTTTTTTGTATGACATATAAATATTTTACATAAACTATAAAATATTTCGTGAATTATTTATTTTCTGGTGATGTTACCTCAATATAATTTTTATGCACAAAATAATTTTAAAAATCTGATAATAAAAAAATAATTTTTGTTTTTAAGAAAAAGTATGTAATTTGCAACTTACAAATTTTTTCTTTTACAATAATGTAAACATAAAAATTATATAAAAATTAATTACTTATTAATATTTAATTTTTATACCTTACATATATTATATTTATAAAAATCACAACAAAATCACAGAAAAGAAAAACACGCTAAGTATATTTATTTAACATTGCATGCAAATATATCTTTATAAAATTTTTTTAAGTTTAAAAAAAAATTAAAAATATATTAGAAACATATAGCTCAAAAATAAATATAAAATCAAAGCTACTCAGTCAAATATAGATGGTGTATTAATTTTGTAGATTATTAGCTGAAAAGAATAATACGAAAAGAATAATTTTAAAACATTTTATTTTATTTCTTAATATCAATTTTATATATAAAGAACTGTTACTTTATATATATTTTGACAGAATTATTTTCGACAAAACTAGCAACTTTATTCAATAATATCACAACGTTTCGACCATTGGTTTTGGTTCTTTTTACATGAACAAAATTATCAAATAAATATATTTCTTTATAAAAATAACAAAATTAAGAAATATATATATATATATATATATATATATATATATAAATTAAACTCTTTCAAACGCTAGTCGTAAAATAAATTGACAGAATTATTTTCGACAAAACTAGCAACTTTATTTAATAATATCACAACGTTTCGACCATTGGTTCTAGTCCTTTTTACGTGAACAAAATTATCAAATAAAACATGCAATTATCACAATAAATTGACCATAGTTCCAAGAAACCGATATAATTTTGGATATGAAAGACAAACGTCAGGTGACGAATCGTTCTATCGAGGAGACGTTTGTCTTTCATATTTAAAATTATATCGGTTTCTTGGAACTATGGTCAATTTATTGTGATAATCATGTTTTATTTGATAATTTTGTTCACGTAAAAAGGATCAAAACCAATGGTCAAAACGTTGTGATATTATTAAATAAAGTTGCTAGTTCTGTCGAAAATAATTCTGTCAATTTATTTTACGACTAGCGTTTGAAAGAGTTTAATTTATATATATATATATATATATATATATATATATATATATATATTTCTTAATTTTGTTATTTTTATAAAGAAATATAATTATTTTTAAATTTTGTTATTTTTAAAGAATTTTTATTTTGAATGGTCTATCTTTTTAATCCTTTTATTTTTATGACATTTTAAATATATGATACAATACTTATTGTATTCGTCTTGTGATTTTAATTATTTTTTCATGTCATTAATTTATATTTCTTGTTTAAATTTTATAATTAAGAACTAAATGCGAGAAGATATATTTGATGTTTATTTTATGTTTAAATTAAGTAAGTAAAGATAGAGCATCAATAGAATATAAGTTTAATGTAACGAGAGCGTAATGTGGTATAAAAGCTCCGTTTTCGTTTCCTACTGGCCTAGTAAAATCGACGTGCATCCGAGGTCGCTCGAAATAGCATCACCATTTGAAGACCAACAGCTAATAGCTAATAGCAGTGAGTTAGGAACTAGGAACGGCAACGAGAGAAATATATATGTATATGTATACATATATAGAAGGATATCTATACATAGGAAAAAAAAATGAAAAGCCGGAAATTGCGATTGATCGAGATTAAATGGGTTCGAATAAAACGTATATGCTAACTTTTATCGCATTTCATGGATATTTGCCATGTCAGTGTATCATCGTAGAAAATAATTACACAGGAAAAATAAGCTTCTGAAATAACAGTGGAACTTGATATTTCTCACATTTTTGTCTCGATTTCTATTTTCATAAATGTGTGTGTGTAATAATTAAATAAATTTATATTTAATTGCTACTTTTATATAACACACTAGAATGACAAAGTGAAATATAAGTAAACATGTCATTATTTAAATCGAATATGACCTATATTTTAATTATTATTTCTTCGTGTAATTATATGTTTGAAAGTAAAAAAGTTTTTTTTTGTTAAAAAAACTTTTGACATTAGTTATATCATGAATTATCCAATTTCGTTAAAAAAATATATAACTTCTAAAATTTCAAAAGTTTTATTTTAAATAAAATGATTCGTTTTTTATATAGGTAAATCGATTT